CGCCTTCCACAGATGTTTATTTAATTCCTTTCTCTAAACACATATTATTAAACTTTAGAACTTCCGTTGTGCCCTTCACCTCGACATAAGCAAAACAAATTTGTGTTTTTCTGTTATGATTGATTTATTTTTCCGTTATTCCAGTTTGCTTCTCTTGAGTTGCATGTGAAGTACAGAATGTTTGCAGGATGTACAATCCAGCCATTTGGCTTTTGTCCATTTCTCTGGGACTACACTGGTTGCAACATTAATTAAATCATGCAGACGGGTTTAGAGCAAAATTATTAACTGAGGTTTGACCAGAGAAAGACGAGTGAATGGAAATATCAAAGACAGAGGGGCTGGGAGTGTAACTGCAGAGTATAGCACTTGCCTAGAATGTGAGAGGCCCTGGATTCTGTCCCCAGCGTCACACACGTGCACACATACAATTCTTATTACTGAGGCAGAGACGGCTGGGAAGTAAAGAAGTTCTATGCCGGTCAGCTTTCGGTTATTCTAATCAACTTATAAAGAGAAAAGGTTTATTTGGACTCACAGAGGTTTCAGTCTATGATCAGCTGGACCCATTACTTTTTTGGCCTGCGGTGACACAGCACATCACAGCAGAAGCATGTGGCAGAGGAAAATTGCTCCCCTATCGGCAGGGACCCAAAAAAGGAATATAAAGAAATTAGGGTCCCACCAGACCCTTTCAGGTCATACCCTGATGACCTGAAGATTTCTCCCACCTCTTAAGTGTTCCACCACCTCCCAATAGTGCCAAGCTGAGGACAAATCCTTTTATACCTTTTGGCTTTTGGTAAATATTCCAGATCCAAACTATAGCAGAGACCAAGGGAGGCTGTGGTTCCACCTGCCTCCTGAAGATGGAGGTGATTCTCACCTGACACCTCAGAGGCCAGGCAGATCTATGGGTAAAAAAAAATGTACAGGCACTGTCCTTTCCACATGCACCCAAGTTGCCAATGTTCTTCCCAATGCTTCTTTCCAGTGCTTCAGAGGAAAATGATGGCACCCAAATCTTTAATGGCTCTTCCCTTTCCATTTTTGGGGTATAGTTGGACACTGGAGTTGAACACAGGGCCTCATGCATGCTAGGCAAGCACTCTACCACTGAGCTACACCCCCAGCCCTTTTCATTTCACTTTGAGACAGGGTCTCATTAAGTTACCCAGGTTGACCTTGAATTTGCAGTCCTCCTGTCTCAGCCTCCCAAGTATCAGGGATCACACGCATGTGCTTCTCTCTCCACTTTTGAGGGGAGGGGTTGAGTTGGCTTAGCGTTCAGCTTCCCTCAAAGGGTCCTCTTCTTTACACACAAATCCAACCACTTCCTGTTCTGTTTCCTGATAACTGCATGTTTATATCTTCCACTTTCAAGGCTACCATCCCAAGAGCCTTCCAGATGTTCCCTAAGTACCATTAGCCCCAAGAGACTTCACTGCCAATCAGCAGGAGGCTGAGAAAAAGAGACAGCAGGCAACAAGCTCCCTCTGGGACCAGCACGGGCCAGCAGCTTTCGTGCTGGGTGGATTCTGGCCTGAAGACAGCACTTTCTGCTAGGCCCATCTGCTCATCCGAGCCCCCAGAGGCTGCCCTGGGACTCAACTTCTGATCTCTCAGGTCAGGGGACTTTCTGTTCTTACCATTCACGCCTGGAAACTTGATCAGAGGCTGCCTGAAACGACTTGTGCATTGTTTAGCTTTTACATTATGATTTAAATTTTCCCCCGTGGGATATTTGATCTCAGATCCTTGAGAGCAGAGAAGCCTCTGGCACCAGCTAGTGATCTGGACACCTTTAGACTGCAGCCATGAATCAGAGAATCGGTTGTTCTTTTGTCTATGTTAGAATGCGTAGCAGGAAGCTACAATGGATAATGATAGAACTCCTTTTGTTCTGAGAGCATGCAAACCAACAAAGAGAAGGCCCTATTTAAAAGATGATAGAATCCCCCAAAATATATATTTTTAAGTATTTTGACACTCCTTTAGATATATTATTTAATTTTTTTAAACCTTTGTGCCATTTTGTATAGGTGAGCTCCCCTCGATACCACAGGTAGGGGCAGAGATGTCCTTGGATGGAAAGGTAATGATCTGCAATCGCCACAAGCTGTGATATCAATCAGTTCCATTCTGTCACTGCTAGTGAAAAGTCTTTATGCAAAAACCCTAGAGTTGGGGGCTGGGTTATGGCTCAGCGGTAGAGCTCTCACCTCACACGTGCAAGGTCCTGGGTTCGATCCTCAGCACCACATAAAAATAGTTATTGTGTTCAACTACAACTATAAAAATAAATATTAAAAAAAGCCCTAGAGTCTTTATTTTGCAAAGTAATAATTTATTTCACTATAATCTCCTATTATTATCCCTTAGCACCAAAAAAATAGTTCATTTATTTATTCATCATGTTTACTGAAAAATGACCACTCTATTCATAAGCCCTGGACTAGAAGCTGTGAATACAAAGTCATAAAATGAAGTTATTGCTCTCAAGGGATACTCCCTACATAGTGGGGTAACAAATAACTATGTGACATAGTTGGGTTATAATACAAATGCAGGGGTAGAGAGGGACAATTAGAGAAGGCATCCTGGAGCTGAATCTAGCATGTGACTTTAGTCTTGGAAGATGAGTTAGCCAGACCTAAGGTGTAGAACAGGAAAAAAATATTGTGTTCGTTTGTGGCAGAGGTCTGCCAATAGGTTCGTTTATGCCAAGGTAGGAGGTATAAAAGAGATTGGTATGCACTGAGAAAGGAAGACAGTTCTGTTGGTATGGAGTGTTTGTTGGGAATGTGTGTTTGCTTTTGGAGAGGTGATAAAAATTCTGATGCCACATCTCATGTGTATTTTATAGATACGGAAGCCAGCTGAATATTTTTTTCAATCATGAAAATAAAATTATTAGGGTTGGTATAGGTAAGGTTGTTCTGGTGTAAAGAAAGAATTGGAGGGCCTGTAATCCCAGCAGCTCGGGAGGCTAAGGCAGAAGTATTGTAGATTCAAAGCCGGCCTCAGCAATTTAGCAAGGCCCTAAGCAACTCAGTGAGATCCTGTCTCTAAATAAAATACAAAAAAGGGCTGGGCAGTGGCTCAGTGGTTAAGTGCCTCTGGGTTCAATCCCTAGTACCACAAAAAAAAAAAAAAAGAAAGAAAGAAAAAGAAAAGAATTGGAGGGATATCAATTGCTGGAAGCCAAGAAAACAGAGGCTTTCTTAGCTGCTTGCCTCCCAGTCTAGACAAGAGATGCAAAAACCCATATTAAGGCAGAAGAGTCTTTAGAGGAAAACAGGAGAGAGACTGACAGAACTGGAGCCTGGATGGATGTGAGGGTGATATACAACTTTGAGATGATTCCAAACACTTACACAGCTTGCTATGCCAGGTCTCTTTTTGGAGTGTATTCCTCTTGTCTTTGAAAGTACAACATTATACCAGAACCCACATGGGAGAACTTGGAGGGAACTCCCTCTTCCCTAGGGAATGTGATATCCAACCTTATCAGACACCATATGTGAGTTACTGTCCTAGTTACTGACCTCAATTACTGGACTTTGAAATACATACACTCAAGAGCTTGACATGCAATGACAGGGCTACAGTCTGCAGGCTGCTTCTCTGAAAACCTAGAGCTCAGGCCGTAATAGGGTGATACCCTATTAACATTGGAGGGAGTTTCCAAAGCCTTACCCACTGCTGTGGTCTGGATGTAAGGTGTCCACTGAAAGCTCCTGTAACAATTCAGAAATATTCAGAGGAGAAATGATCAGATTTTGAGACCTGTAACCTAATCAGTCCTAGTTTGAATGGACGAGGTGCTAACTGTAGGTAGGTGAGGTGTGGCTAGAGGAGGTGGGTCACTGAGGGCATGTCCTGAAAGGTTGCATCTTTTCCTGGCCCCTTCCTCTTACTGTCTCTGCTTCCTGGCCCTGCATGATTGAAGAAGTGCTGCTCCACCACACTCTGCTGCAATGATGTTCGGCCTCATCTTGGGCCTAGAAATATGGACTCAGCCCACCCTTGAAACCATGAGCCAAAATGAACTTGGCCTATTCTGTGTTGTTCTTGTCCAGTATTTTGGTCATAGTGAGGAAAACCTATCACACCCACCAACACCTGCACCTCCCTCTAGATTGAGAGACCTCACATGTCTTGTACTTCACTTCATTAGTTAAACAGCTGCTCCAGATAATTGTATAAAGACACACACCTCAGGAGCTGGACATATAGTTCAGTGGTAGAGTGTTAGGCCTTGGATGCAATCCCCATTACCCTCCTCTCAAAAAGGATTCACCTCAAACTTTAATTAGACTTTTCTTTCCATACAGGCCTGTTCCCATTCTAATCGAGCAATGAGCTCCAACAATTTTGGAGCTCACTCACTGTGGATGAATGTACCTCATCTATGGAAGTTGTTCCTTGGAAGGTTAGTTCACATTATTTCCTTAAGCATTGTAAACTTAAGAAAAATTTTCTTTGGATACAATATACATAATTCATGAAACTGTATTTTGATCATCTCCTTATTCCCACCATATTCAACAGAGGGTCAAGGAGACAGGAAGGGAAGGAAAATTTCGAGTCAACTCCTGGATGGTAAGGCCCACTTACTGATTTAAGGAATTCTAGATTTTTTTTATTGCTGTTGTTTTTTTCTTTTTAATGGGTAGAAAGACTGCACTTGTATTTGCACCAATAAATAATAATATTCATGATTTGTAACTTTTTAGCATCAGCTCACAATGTACCCCTTCCTGTGAAAATCACAGTGTCAATTTCAGGACTGTGGCAAAGTGCCCTACTTTTAAAGCTATCCTGCAGTTATTCAAATCCCTTTCCTCCTCCACATACTTTCTTTCCCCCACAGCAGACTCCCTCTACATAACCCACTCCCTACTGAAAGACACCAATCAGAGTTCAAACTCAAGGCAAGCATTGAGCAGTTCTGGGCTCTGGTGCAAGTATGATTTCTATAAAAAGACATTAGAAAATAAGGAGCAATGTTGCCATTTTGCCTTTAATGGAAAAGTGGCTCGCAGTTACAGTTAAAAAAAAAAATCTTTTATTTAAAAAAACTACCCAACTTCTAGGCATTCAGTTTGAATTTTTAGTAACACACATACACTTGGAAACCAATAAAGTCTTTATAAAAATAAACTCTGAATGTATGATTAAAAAGGGAGAGGTCCAGTCTTTGTAGCTGCACAAATGCATAATAAAAAGGATGTCAGTCTGTCTGAGATGTTTTACCCCAAGGTGGAGGGTGCTTTTACTTTGGAAGACAGAGCCTGCTTGAAGCGTCTCTTCAGGTCCTGCATGTTGGGAGAGCGTGGCCGGGGGATGATAGAGGCCCTTCTCCGCTCCCCACTGAGGCTGTGCAGCTTGCTTACTTCTTTGCAAAGATGCTGAAACACATCACAGACGTCTTCATAGTTTTCACTAGTGGAAATTTCAAGGAATAGGCTGCCCAGCTCATTGGCTAGCTGAATACCATCATGCGTTTGTACCTGCCGGGCATGCAGAAGGTCCCCCTTATTGCCCACTATGATGACAGGGGCTTTAGAATCAGGATGAACCTTCCGGATATGCTGATAAAGGGGCCGGATGGACTGGTAGCTGTCATAGTCTGTGATGGAATAGACAAGAAGAAAGCCCTCGGCCCACTGCACGCACTTGGATAGAGAATCAATGGCCTGGCTGAGGTTGTCTTGGGCCTGAGGAAGATCAAAATGAGATCAGTCAAGGAAGCCCTCGATGAGAGGCAAGCTCAACTCTAACATCAAAGTAACCCTGGAAGAAACACTGGGAAAAGAAAAACACTAAATATGGTTTTCAGGTTCTACTCAGCTTCTGTTAAGGAGACTTTTGACAGGGAGAGTGCAAATTCTTAAACTCCCTGCTTGGCTTATTTTATTTGCTGATATCCATGGGATATTTTTAAACCCTCTGCTTGACAGGCAATCTCTGGTGAACCCTGGCTGACTGAAGAATTACTTCAAACCAGAATGGCTCAATTTTTAGGGAACTAATTCATAATAAACAAAACTTTGAAAAGAAGCCAAGATAAATATCTATTCCCAAATCTATGAAAATATTTTTAGCAAGCAACTTCTTGAGAATGTTACAGAAACAAATTCCTCTCTTTGGGTTCTTTCACAGACCTCTCCTCCCTGGAAGGGATTAGCAATTAGTAACTTGTTAGTTAAGTTATATTCCAGAACTGGCCAAGGGGTTATCTGATTGCAATTACTGACTTGGGGGAACGGCCAGTAACAGAAGCACTCCAGGAGAACTTGCTAGCCTGAAAGACCCTCTCCCACCAGAATCCCACCAGCTTTTCTGTTTTATTTTGTTTTATATGATGCTGGGGATGGAACCCAGGACTTCATACATGCTAAGCACATTCTTTACCACTGAGCTATAGCCTGAGACTGGGTTTGCTTTTTTAATTGTTTCATGGTTGATCTCTGAAACTGGTAAGACCCATCTAAGTAGTGATAGTCTGCCAGGGCAGCAGAGAGAAGTGTCAGGGAGCTAAGAGGAAGCTACTTCTAACCAACCCCACCTTGGAGGACTTCCAACACTACAATTCCCAGTCCCACACTTGTAAACGGTTGACTCTTACATTTAAATGTATACCTTTAGCATGTCACTGGGACCAATAGCACAGCCTCTGACCAGCTTTATGCTGGTCTCCCCTCATCCCCACCCTGGCCCCACTTCCATCCCCCACCCAGAATGTTCTAGCAGGGGCTCTTTGCTCCTGGCAGTCTTTACCTGGATACCCCCAGGAGTGTCCTGGATCTGCAGAGACAGCTGGTCTCCCTCCACATAGACGAGACGTGAATACAACTTGCCTAGAGAAGGAAAGAGAGTTTGCTTTTAAATTCCCACACTCGGATCAGCAAAAAGAAACATGAAGGCACAAAAATATTGATTATAAAATTATTTTAACCTGTATTCGGCTCATAGTCGCCAATGAATCTCTTGGTGAGGAAGCGCACAATCATTGCTGAAAAGGAAATAGGCAAAATCAATTCAAAGAGTAGAAGACAACAGTGACGGGCCTCTGAGCCGCATGCACTCCCTGAAGCCCAAGGTTCTGCAAGACCGAAGGTGCCATAAGTTGGTCTCCCTCAGCTTTTATGAAGGGACATACTGGAGGGACAATTCCATTCTCAAACAGGCGTCCACCCCAGCGAAAGTCTTGGAGTATGCGCCCAGAAGAGGCAGGCGGGTGTAACGGGCCGGGACTGAAGGGAGACGCTCTTAGCACCAAAACGGCCAGATTCATCCGGTCCCCAGCCCTCCAACCTCCACCAAAGCTCCCTCCCTGGAGGACCTCCAGTTGTCGCTTCACGGGTCTCCGCCACACTCACCGCTCTTTCCTACACGCCCGGCTCCCAACACCGCTAGCTTGATGTCTTTGGGTAGGAGGTAGTCGGAGGAGCACTCAGGAATGGGAGCCAGCAGAAAGTGCCCCGACATGTTGAGTGGCCGCATGGAGCGCGTCGGGCAGTGAAGCGCGCAAGCCGAGCGGTCCCGGCCTCGACCGCACCTGGAATCGGCTCGCGAGCAGAGAGCGCGGGAACACCGGGCGCCAGGACGGTGGCGGAGGCCAGCCTAGCTGTCAAGTTCCGCGGCTTTAAAAGCGCTCGGCTTGCGGGGGAGCGCGGTGGCCGCCTCCAGCTCCTCCTATTCCCCGCCCCTCCCCGTAGCGGCGAGCTGGGGCGGGAGCAGGGTGATCCAAAGGGACCGTCACCGCAGGCGTGCGCACCACTTTGCAGTCTGACGCGCAGTGCTAGGGAACCTGCACCGCTCTGAGCTCGCGAACCCTGGAAATACGGCCACCAGCCATAGAGACCATCATCCTGGCTTTCAGGCTGTATCTGGCACTTCCGCGGCCCTCTCCGCCCCACAGTGGCCAGTTTTGGTCACTAGCTCTGTAGGTCAACCTGTGATTAGAGCTAATGGAGGAAAGAAAAAGGGAAAAACGCAATTGGTCGGATATTTCTGCAACAATGGAAGGGATAGAATCCTGTGGAATGTTGCTCTTTTATTTTCAAAAGGTGCTGAGGTGTGACATTCTTTTGGAAAAAAGGATGGAGGAGGCAAGAGCCACCCAGCCCCCCAACCCCTCCAAGTATCACTGGAGATAACTACAGTCACTTACATGTGAAGTCCCCTTGGGGGCAGTCGTTTGCAGCTCAGCATCCAAACCTTGGCAGCCCCTTCCCTGCTGGCGCAGGCTGAATTGACTCATTGGTAAACAGTGAGCATTCCACCTGCTGAGAGCTCTGGTTCTGGACTAATTCTCCATCATTAATTCTGTTTACGCACTTGAGTCATGGATTTACTTCATTGTTCAAGTATTTACTTCTAGATACACGGTGGAGTTTATAGAGAGGGGGCAGGGGAAAGGGAGGAAGAGGACACAGAAGAGAAAAATGGCCTAGTTCTTGGAATTCAGGAGCCCACCATAGTAAGGCAGGAGCCTAATAAAGACCTCATGCTTTTGATCTGCTGTTTTCCAAACTCTTCTGTCCAATTGCCTATTAGCCCCACCCTATTCATTCCCTTGCTCTATCCTGGCTTTATCAGTTTTTGCTGCTTGACAAACCACACAAAATTTAATAGCATAGGACAACAATCACTGCTTGCTATTGCTCACAAGGCTATAAGGTCAGTGGGTGAGTCATTTAATCTAGGCCAGGCTCTGAAGATCTTGGCTGAGCTCTTTGCTGCACTAGCAGAGTTCCTAGTCTTGGGAGAGGCAGAGAGCTGGCTACTATGCTCCTGCATTGCTCAAGTCTGACAACTAACTGGCTAAAGGCAATAATGGGGGAGGAGCAGTGACAAAATCACATGTGTTATATCCAGCAGTTTGGAGGGCTTATTCTTATGTGGCAAGTTCCAAGGAGTGAGTGGAAGTGGACAATACCTCTTGAAGCCTTGGCTCCAAAGTAAAACAAATCACTTCTGTTGCCTTTTGCCAGCCAAAGTAAGTCATGAGGTCAGCACAAATTCAAGGAGTGAGGAAATGCACTCCACAGCTTTATGGAAGCAGCAGCAAATTTGCATTTGAAATAGTTAGGACAGAAAGCAGTAGAGAATGGGATCCATTTTTGGAATTGAACACACTGATGAATGTGCCTCCATGCACCCAGCAGCCCTAGCAGGCCTGTGGAGCTGTCCTTGACCTCAACCTCTCACATTATGGGTTAATCACCACATTCTATTATTTCTACTGCCATGTTTCTTGCTGTCTCCTCTTTTCCATCTTTACTGCTCTTCTCATTTTTCAACTGAAGAATTCTGAATAATCATGAAATAGACTATAAATGGTAATTCAGTTTACTTGTTGCAGAGTCTTCTCTGATCACTGCCACCATTCCCACTCCTATCTTGCAATTAGTTACTCTCAGGGCACCCTTGGCAGCGTATATCACAACTGTCATTACTTTCTGGTGGAATGTTTGTTTCATGTCTGTCTGTAGAGGGCAAGAACCCTAGCTTACTTCTATCACTAGTGCCCAGCATGTAGTGGTACCTGGGACTTTCAAGGACCTCAATAAATGTTTGTTTATTGGCTGATTTTCTGAATGAATAAATTGATGAATGATGGCTTCACTGTAGGAACTAGAAAATACAGAAGTCATACTTATGATCATCATCCCTTGCATTTGTAAGCAACCTGCTCTCAGGAGGAAGCATCCCAGGAAACATTTGCGGTAACTGGCCCTATTTAAGTTGTACTGACTTTTGGCTGTTCACAAGGCAATCTTCTTCCATTGTACTTCAGTTTAACAGGATATATCTGTAACAGGGCACCTTCCTCCCTGACAGAGGAAGAGGCACTAAAAAGGAAAAAACTGTTTAGGAAGCCACTGTGAAGCTGTTAGGAGTTGTTGGGTAATTCCATGATGGGGTCTGGCACTGTTTACAAGATGGCTCTGCAGCACTGTTTTCACCCAACCCAAAAGGGAAGGATTATCTTGCTTTGTCTCTTTTATTGTGAAATAAAACAATTCTCACAAGAACTCGATCGATTTTCCCTTACATTTCATGGGCCAGAGCAAAGAAATCAAGAAAGAGATGATCCATGAAGGTTGGGATTGCCATGACTAGCTTAGGTGATCATGGGTACTCCCTGGGGATGGACACAGTGCTGCTCCCATTCAAACTTAAGAAATAGAAGAGAGCGTGGCTGCTGGGTAGCGGCTCAGGGGATCTGCCATAAACCCACTTCACTTTTCTGGGGTGAAAATGCAGAACTTTCAAGGGAAAAAAATGAGTCATTTTTTATTAAATCTTAAGCATATCTGTTTACCTCGTTCCCTACTTTACATCCCCTCTCTGGAATGAGATTATTTTAGTTTAAGATCACCCAACAGTGAAGATTCCTAAGACTATCCTTTGCTCAGTGGCAGTTATCCTCCATTTCGCACTTACCCTGCTCCTTTGCTGAGAAGAACTCAAAATGTTATTCTATCCTCCTTTCATTTACAAATACAGATAATCTGTGACCTTTTAGAGGAGACAATAAGCTACTGAAATGAAGAATTATAAATAGCATTTCTCAAGTGTTGCTGCTTGTGTTCTGCTATTTCATTTTAGATTTCTTTGTGTCCAGAGTTATGTAAAATTGTGGTGCAACCATTATAACACAGGCATGCTGAAGTAGTTTTTAAAAGATAATAGAAATGCGTAGGCAAAGACTCAAATACACAAATCTGTGGGTGTTTAGAATGAGTGTGAAGGTCAGAATTTAGTAATACACAAATAACATCAGACTTGGGAAATTATTAACTCTTTACTAGTCAAACAAGAGCTTGAATTCTAGCCCTTGGGAAAAAGGGTCCTCCTCTAATTCATGAACATCGCACACCCCACCATCCATAACCCAATATCAACTATCTTTACCGTGTATCCTAAATCCATCGATAATGAGTTTCTGGTGCTTCAGACTCTGCTTTTGAGGTACTTTCCCCAGAATAGGAATGATGCTTCTGTCCTCTACTAATTCCCTATTTTAACAATAGTCAAAACTGTTAAAAATCTACTGTCTGCAAGGCTCTAGTACAGAACACAAAGAACAGCTAACTTTATATTATTAAACATACAAAGTACCAGACACTCCTGCCTGCCTTCACAGACATCCCTGTTGTAGTGAAATTAGTTATCATTTATAAATTACTGAATTTAGCAAAAAAAATTCTCAAATATTATCTCAATTCTTAACATTTAAGTCTTTATCAAACCTGTGTAACAGGTTAAAAAAAAAAACCCAAAACTTCTAAATTAGGGTTTAGACAAGCTACATTTAGTAGTAGAGACCCTAAGCCCTCTGACTGTAAATCTGCCCCTTTCCACTGGTGTGGAGAGCAGGATGAAGAATACTCTGGACAGGTAAATGCAAGGACAAAGCAGATCAGGTGTAAGCTCCAATAGGACAGCTACAGGGAGATCAAATCTGAGATGAGGGAGATATCAGGGAGTTACAGGGAAAGAACAACTGATCTCCAAGCCTGAGTAGTATTTGATAGATGGAGGCTCAGAGGGAGGGTAAAGGCATATGAAGTTGAGTGAAGAGTATGTGCAAAAGGTAAGAAGGCAAATGGCAAGTTTGAGGAATTATGAGTAGTCTCATAGAGGAGAGACATGGTGGGGACCACAGGATTGGGGGCCAGCCTGTGGATCGCAACATGCACCATGCTAAGAAGTTTACCAGGAAGCTCAGAAAAGGTATTGAATGTTCTTGCAAAGGGCGACTTTTCACAGGCAACAGTGTTAGCGCTAGGAGCTACAAAGAACAGATATGGTTTCTCTTCTCAAGGATTTTAAAACAATTTACTTACTCATCTCCCATGAGCAATTAATTTTCTTTTCCTGCTCAGGTGGAGCAAAAGTAAAAATCCAATTGCATCTTGAATTGAGCTATCACCTCATTTTCCAGAGACTAACTAAAGAGTACCCCACTGGATTTATTTCCCAAGCCAAATAATTTCATAAAGCTCTAATCTTGATGGAAAAGTATGTATGAGAGCAATTTCTCTGAGCCCTTTCCATTAATGGCTTATGAGATGGTCTGTCCGGTGCTCCCTCACCACACACTTTTCACTATTTGGAAAGAAACACAATACAGAAGCTCAGTTGTTTATTCATTTCTCTATACATATTTTCCACCTTAGCATAACAGCTGCAGATTCTGCCTATTGTAATGGAAAACTAGGAACCTAATAGATTTTTGTGCTGAGTTTTTTGCATGCATAATACAATTTTCTCCCCTTAAGTAGGGCTGGGAATGGAGAAATATGGCATAGACACTCATTGCAAGTAAATCCAGTTTCAAATTATTATTCTTGTGCTCAGAAAAGTCCATCTTGTTTGTATTTTAGCAATTCTATCACTAAATTTTAGGAATTGCTTTATAATATTTTAGCATTTTTCTATCCCAATACAGAGAAATTGTTAATGCTATACTAGTGGGAATATGGAAGAGATATGAACCTTTTTTTTTTAAGAGAGAGATTGGGGGGCGGGGGGGATTTTTTAATATTTATTTTTTAGTTTTCGGCGGATACAACATCTTTATTTGTATGTGGTGCTGAGGATCAAACCCAGGCCGCATGCATGCCAGGCGAGCGCTACCGCTTGAGCCACATCCCCAGCCCCTGAACCTGTTTCTTTGTTTTTGCCACAATAGAGGAAAACTTCAAAGAATATAAGTTTGGGATTGGGTTCAACTGAACAAAAACAGAAGACCTCAGAAGATACCAGGCCAGATAAAGAGACAAAATTCAATATTTCAAGGTGCTATGCAGTCTCATTTAGTGTCATGGCTCTAACAGGCTTAAAAAAAAATAGGTGAGAAGTTTTTTTTTTTCATTTTTTTTTAAGAGGGGGGGGAGAGAGAGAGAGAGAGAGAGAGAGAGAGAGAGAGAGAGAGAGAGAGAGAATTTTTAATATTTATTTTTTAGTTTTCGGCGGACACAACATCTTCGTTGGTATGTGGTGCTGAGGATTGAACCCGGGCCGCACGCATGCCAGGAGAGCGCGCTAACGCTTGAGCCACATCCCCAGCCCAGGTGAGAAGTTTTATAGTTAGAATATTTTTCTTAACAAAAGGGAATTGTCTGGTAAGAGGTGAACTTATAAATTCACAATTTGTGGTGGTTGCTCATTATTTTAAAAACTTGCATTTCAAGGCAGACACATAATTTTGTCAGCACACATAAACACACATTGCTCAAATCTCAGATTTTTAATTCGTCTTTCCTTTTACACAACCTTCTAAATTAATTGTATAATATTTGTAGGACATCCACAGGGGCTGGCCAAGAGAGAGTGTAAGCTTCAGCAAATGTGAGCTGTTACTCAAGTCTCGAGTGTATCAGAGAAAGTTAAAGACAAAGATAGGTGGTTCTCAAACTTAAGCATGTTACTTAATTAGCCAGAGAGCTTATTATATTGCCATGCTGGGCCCTATCCCCAGAATTTCAAATTCAGTAGGGGTAGATCTGCTCCCTCCCACCTTCTGTGCTGGGGATTGAATCCAGGGCCTCTGGCATGCAGGCAAGCACTGTGGCACTGAACAAGTTTACCAGCCCTCCATTTGCACTTTTATCAAGTATACCCAGATAATGCTGTGCAGCTAGGTAGGGGACTATACTTTGAGAACCACTGGCTTAGATCACCCGGAAATAACTTATAGAGAAGGAAGACAGTAGCAAATGTGGAACATCAAGGATGTGCCAAATGGGTAGAAGAACCTGAATAAAGATGATAGAATCCTCTGGTAGAAAAGGAAAATTTGTTGGTCTGGTTTAATATTAGGGAGCTGCAGATTAAACTGGAAAAAGATCTCCAAGTTTTTTAACTAACAAGTTCTGAGAATACAGTTGCTTCAGAGTGGTGGAGGTGGAAACCAAATTTGTCGCTGGCGACCAGGAAATTTAGTTAGGAAAGAGACCAGGAAAGCACAGGAGACTGCTTGGTTGATTTGCTAGTTTTCTGAGTCTGTTGGCTTAAGTCAATGAAGACAGGAATGAGTTATCAAGAAGAGGACAAAAACAAGAGCCCTGTGGACACTGACTCCCCACTTCCATTCCCCTTTACACTCCCCTATAACTTCTGGCTTGTTTTGTGTAAGTAATTCATGTCTTTCTGTCCCTCCGATATTGTCACCTCCTTAAGAATGGTGTCTTATTTTGCTAAGAAGAACATTTCAGTTTGAATCAATCCCATTTATTGATTTTTGATTTTTATTTATTGTGCTTTAAGTCTTATTTAAGGCAGGCAGAGCCAACTCCGACAAGATGAAGATTTGGGACTACTTTTTCTTCTATTAGGTGCAGGGCCTCTGGTTTAATTTCTAGGTCCTTGATTCACTTTTGAGTTTTGTGCATGGTGAGAGACAGGGGCTTAATTTCAATTTTGCTGCATATGGATTTCCAGTTTTCCCAGCACCATTTGTTTAAGAGGCTATCTTTTCTCCAATATGTGTTTTGGATTCCTTTGTCTAGTAAGTATGAGATAACCGTATTTATGTGGGTTTTTCTCTGTGTTCTCTATTCTGTACCATTGGCCTACAAGTCTATTTTGGTGCCAATACCATGCCATTTTTGTTACTATTGCTCAATAGTATAGTTTAAGGTCTGGTATGATGATGCCACCTACTTCGCTCTTGTTGCCAAAGATTGCTTTGGCTATTCTGGGTCTCTTATTTTTCCAGATGAATTTCATGACTGCTTTTTCTATGAGGAATGTCATTGGAATTTTGATTGGGATTGCATTGAACTTGTATAGCACTTTTGGTAGTATGATCATTTTGATAATATATATTCTGCCTACCCAAGAACAAGGGAGATCTTTCCATTTTCTAAGGTCTTCTTTAATTTCTTTCTTTAGCATTCTGTAGTTTTCATTGTAGAGGTCTTTCCCCTCTTTCACTAAATTGATTCCCAAGATTATGTTTGGATTTTATATCCTGATACTTTGTTGAATTCATTTATTAGGTTCTAGAAGTTTTCTGGTGGAATTTTTTGGATCCTCTAGGCATAGAATCATCATCGGCAAATAGTAATAGTTTGAATTTTTCTTTTCCTATCTGTATCCCTTTAATTTCTTCGTCGAATTGCTCTGGCTAGTTTCAAGAACTATGTTAAATAGAAGTGGTGAAAGAGGGAATCCCTGTCTTGTTCTAGTTTTTAGAAGGAATGCTTTCAATTTTTCTGCATTTAGAATGTTAGCCTGGGGCTTAGCATAGTTTTTACAATGTTGAGATAAAAAACAATCCAGTGAGGTGAATAGAGTGCCTACAGAATGGGAGCACATCAGATAGAGCACTTATCTCTAGGATATATCAACAACTCAAAAAACTTAACACCAAAAGAAACAACCTGAAATCAGTATATGGGCCAAGGAACTGACAGATTCTTCTCGAACATGATATATACAATCAATCAACAAATATACAAAAAAAAAAAAGTTCAACATCTCTATCAATTAGAGAAATGCAAATCAAAAGTACTCTAAGATTTTATCTCACTCCAATCAGAATGGCAGCTATTAAGAATACAAACAGCTGGGCACCCGTTGTGCCTGCCTGTAATCCCAGCAACTTGAGAGGCTGAGATAGGAGAACCACGAATTCAAAACCAGCCTCAGCATCTTTAGAGTCGACTAAGCAACTCAGTGAGACACTGTCTCTAAATAAAATACAAAATAGGGCTGGGGATGTGGCTCAGTGGTCAAGTATCCTGAGTTCAATCCCTGGTACAAAACAAACAAACAAACAGTAAGTGTGAGGATGTGGGGAAAAGGCACACTCATACATTGCTCATGGAACTACAAACTGGTGCAGTCAATCTGGAAAGCAGTATGGAAAAAAACTTGGAATGGAACAACCATTTGACCTAGCTATCCCACTTCTTGGTTTATACCCAAAGAACTTAAAAACAGCATACTACAGGGAAGCAGCCACATCACAGTTTATAGCAGCACAATTCACAATAGCTAAACTGTAGAACCAACCTAGATACTCTTCAGTAGATGGATAAAGAAAAATGTGGTATATATACACAATGGACTATTACTCAGCATTTAAAAAGAAAAAAATCATGGCACTTGCAAGTTAAGTGGATAGAGTTGGAGAATATTCTGCTGAGTAAGCCAATCCTAAAAAAACAAAAGCTGAGTGTTTTCTCTGATGATGTGGATGTTGATTCACAATGGGGATGGTTGGGGGGAGCTTGGGAAGAATGGAAGAACTTTAGATAGGGCAAAGGAGAGGAAGGGGGAAGGGAGGAGGCATGTGGATAGGAAAGATGGTGGAATGAAATGGACATAATTACACCAAGTACATGTATACAGACGAAAACTTGTGCTCTATGTGTACTATGAATTGAAATGCATTCTGCTGTCATTTATAACAAATTACAGAAATACATTTTTTTAAAAAATGGTGCTTTATGCTGTTGTTTTTCTGCCCTTCTTCCCCAGTAGAGTAGGTACCAGTAAATATTCCCTAATGTGCTAAAACTATCTATAATCTCATAAAAACTCAGACCCCTTTCCCAACAAAACATATATTGGGTTATGGTAAGTACTATAAGGATAACAAGGGATAGAAAATAATATATAGGATACAGAGAGACAGACTTGATAAAATCTGAGCAAAGGCTGAATACTAGGATGAAACCAATGGGACCTATGAAGCAGCATTCCCCACAGAGGAAACGTCCAAGTACATAATCTCTGAAGCAAAAATGTGCTTGGCATAGCAAAGGCACAGCAAGAAGGCTATAAGTGTAATTGAATCATCCTTTGGGGCAGAATGTTGTACAAGTCAAAGAGGCTGCCACAGCCAGAAGATGCAGTGTTTTGTAGGGCAGCATCATTGTTCAAACAATGAGGCTGAATACCACCCAGAATATAAAAGTATTCAATATTGAGAGAGGTCAGAGAGATCTAAGAAAGCTTGCAAAGAGCAGATAAAATGAAACCAGGAAAGTGTTCAAGAAGCCAAACCCAGTAATAAAGAAATGTCACACTTTCTCCAACCAAATTAGCAAAGTCTATAATAATCAATGCTTTATGGGAGTGATGAGACAAGCATTTTCATGCACTTAAGATTGAATGCACTCTGTACAACACTTTATGAAATCAATTTATCAAAACCAATCAAGAATCTATAAGGTACACATATTTTTAAATCTTGTGCTGTGCTTGTGAGAAACCGTTTAATTAAAAAAAACTAAAAACACAAATTCATAGCGTCTCCACTGATGTTTTAAAAATAGTGGTGCTGTACATAAACAAATTCTTATTTTCTGAATATGTGCCCAAATGATAGTGGCTCTCTAAGCCATCACCCTTCCTCCCTTTCTTCTTCCACATCCAGCTTCACCAGCCCTCTTGAACTGAGGTATTACATTACATTTCCTTTTTGTTGTGTAGTACTAGGAATTGAACCCAGGGTCCAAGCGTTGAAACTGAGCTACACTCCCAGCCCTCATTTCCTTTTTGAAAAGTCACAATTATACTTCTTTTCATGAGATTGTGGTAAAACAGAATCATAGCCCTTAAGGACATAAAGAACCTCTAAGTGAGAGTAATATGATTCACTGGGCAATGAACAAAGTAATTTGTCTCCTGATGCTTCTTCCACTTAACACAGGTGACTGAATAAACCCAATTACTCATGAAGCAAGTATTTACCTGAACCTCAAAATTTAGGGAAACACTTGTTTTCTTAAATCCATATGTAAATAAAATTAAACACACAGAAATTAGAATTAAAGTATCTATTCATTTTTAACAATAGTTTCCTATTACTCCTCTAATTCAAAGAGCATTTATTGAATATGCAATGTGCTAGGAACTAAGAATGCAAAGTTGAATGACAGAATTTAACCAAGGCAAAGGGAAGATAAGTAGCAAAACCTCTAACATGGGAATAATGTTGTGGGAGCCTTTAAGAGCTAGTCTTTCTCTGATCCCAAGTACTTTGTGCATTTCTCTTCTTGCATCAGGTATGCTAACCCCTATAACACTTAAGCTATATTGAACAAGCAGGAATTCATCACTGAAGCAAGGAAAAGGCAAGCACATGTGCAAAGGAACTTGAAAAAACAAGTTTTTCTTAAGATATAAAAGGCATAAAGTAGAAAAATTATAACTGGAAATTAAAAGGAAAACAATTTAGTAGGAACTGTTACAAAGGATTAGATGTATGGTAGTGAGGGTTTCTACATGGAACTCCTTGAATTGTAACCTAAAGAATTTAGAAAGATCACCAATTCACCCTACCTATCAGAATCATCAAACTCCATTTTATAGACAGTTTAGGGGTACTCTAGCGTAAGGATCATTGGTTAAAGTGTTAAAAAGTCCCAGTATGCCAGTTCCTGACATAAAATAACTGTATTATATTCTCCCGAGTCATTTTTTTAATGAATAAAACATGGTAATCCCTTCTCAAACCTATCATTGAGGTGGCTGTCATGAGCCCTTTAAGTGTCCCACTGAATATAAATAAAAACTAAAAAGAGCTAGGGATGAGGTAGGGATGAGGTTCACGGTATAGGATCCCAGTGTTGCTAGCTAAAAAAAAAATAATAAAATAAAAATTTCAACATCATATAGTACTTAATCCTAAGAATATATAAAAAGGGGTGGGGGATCATGAGCATCCTTAAAAACTATACTTCTCTACTCAGTTGCAGTGAAAAATATGAATATGCAGATAACAAAAAGCTGGCAGTTACTGAATGTAAGAGCATGTTAAGTGTATTATAAATTATTCCCATTAATCTTTTAATAATTCCCTTTACAAAAAGGGAACCGAGTCACACAGGTCAAGTAATTTACAGCATATATACTAACAGTAACTTCTGAACTTTGTAGCTGATGGAAGAATGACTAGATGGAACAGGGACAGAAATAAATAGGTATGAAAGACATTCAATTTTAAAATTGTAAAGTGGGGGACATGTAAATTTAAGCTGACTTCAATTTGGTGCACAGTAGCCCACTAAGACCCATCAGAAAATATAAGACAGGAACTCCAGTTGATCCAAGTTTTGTTGCTTTTGGAAGTGGTGGTGAAAAATGAATTTCAAATACAATAATCATCCACTTAAAGGCAACCCTCTAGAAAGTGAATTCCCCGTTCCAGGACAGTTAATAGCTATTATGTTAAGCATTCAGAGATCCAAATCTGGGTCTGCTTAGAAAAAAGCAGTACCTATTTCCTATCCTATTAGGAGAGAAAACTACAGGCCACCAATTAGGCTCTTTTCTACAACCACAGCATTTGCTAAATAGGCTACAAAAAGGAAGATGGTCAAGTCCGGAAGCATGTACAGAACACTACTTAAAAGCAGTTACAAATACAAATAATACCCTGCATCCCACCAGATCATAATGGGATAAAATTAAAAGCAGCTACAAACACAGTTAAGTACAAACTACATTAGCAGAACTAGAAACATGTGGCAAACCTAGTTAGAAATAAAACAGACCGGGGCCAAGAAAAAACAATTCAGGAATACCAATATTTCAAGGATGAAGACTAATGGAGTAAAAAACGCACAAACCCAGGTAAATATAGTTAAGTTTGGTAAACTGAATAATGCTGTCGTTTAATGGGTCTCTTTTGAAATTCATGCTGAAACTCCTTCACTAGAGATGAAGTCCTTGGGAAATCCTAGGAAAAGAGCCTAGACTTTCCTCTCCTGAATACAATGGCTAGAGAAACTAGCCCAACCCAACTGGCTAGTAATTTTTCTCTTCTGGACTTGTCCCCCCAGGAGAATAACAGCAAAAAAACAACTTCAAGTGCAGACCAAGAGAAAAAAAAAAAAAAGAAAGAAAAAGAAAAGAAAACCTAAGTGCAGACCAGGCCCTTAAACACAAAACCTGTCAGCATCTGGACTTGGACTTCCCAGTCTCCAAAACTCTGAAAAAATCTGTTTACAAAATTAGTAAAGTCTGTATTATTTTGTTACAGGAGGAGAAAGACAAATGTTTTTACACTATTGTTGAAAGCGATTCAGAACTAGTAACACCCAAAGAACAGGGTACTATTTTTTTTAAGGAAGTTGGCTTCAAAGGTAAATTCATAATCCTTAAAAATCAAGCTATTTACAATTATAACCAATCAACTTTTCCTAATTTTAACTGTAATCACACAGTTTTCCTTTCACTTATTTTGTGTATCTTTCTTCAAGGTAATTTAGAGACCAAGCAACCAAATTTCATAAATAATCTTTGGCCATTTCTTAATCAATTGAGTATATATTTGATGTACCACCATAAGTCATTTCACATTATTCTGCAATAAAAGTACTAAATTTGAATGGCAGAGAAACAACACAAACAAACTGGGACACAATTACATACACACTTCTGCTCAATTAAAAAAA